AGCCTTCGCGCTAGCCCTCACGCTATATTGCCTTATATGTATTAGCTCGGCGCTAGTGTGACAAACAAGCTGCAGACTGAGCCATTTTTGTGTTCCCCTCTCAGTCATGTGGATGGAGGACCTCAGTGACGAGAGGAGAATGTGTAGCGCTGAGCTAATACATATATATGGTGACAGCATCAGGGCTAATGCTAAAGCTAACAGGCTAAGCTGAGGTTCTTCCATGAAGCAGCTCTGTTGTCCTCCATCCATATTTTCAGTTAGAGGCCGAGTCATTTCTACCTTCTCCTCTCTGTTGATCGTCAGATATTGTCTGAGATTAACCTTCAGGGTGGACATAGCTCGCTCACACTGATGGCCCATCCAAGTCATCATTTATCCAGAATGCTTTACATGTAAAAAAAATGGCCCCGTCCATGTAATATTTTTTTAAATTTTAAGTTTAAAAATGATAAAAACTAAACAGCTGACAGTATTTTTAGTCTTTATTTTACAATTAAAATATACGTTTATTAACTAAAGTCTAATGTTACAACTAATCGGGGATCCCTTTAATGCTCTGCTGTGATCAAGTACAATAAGTTAGAATTTGAGCTTAGCTGCTAAACTAAAACCGTGCAAACTAAAAACTGTCATTTTTCTCAGCTCAGGCAATTAACCAGTAATGGATTGTACAAGAAGCTTAAAATCTGAATTAGTTTCTTGTTTATGCAACATCTTGTCATCTACCGCTAATTACGTTGCACTCATTTCATTCATGCAGCTTCTCTCTCTTGTCTCCTGACTGCAGCCGGAAAGCTTTGGCTTCGGAAGACTTGGACWTGATTTTCCGACGTGCAGCACCTGCAACATCTGGAGAAACTCGAAACGCTGAAGAATTTCTCTCCAAGCCCCAACTATGACTCCCAAATGAGACCCGTATTCCTAATTACATGCCACACATGACAGCTGCCTAAAGCTGCGACACTCTGTTCAATTCATTATCTCAGTGACTCGTTTTTAGGAAATTACTCCGATTTTATTTTTTTCTTCAGCCTTCATTTTATGATTAGSTTGTTTTCCTTCATGCTGCATGTTTTATTATTTTTTATTTATACTTACACCATTTTTTTTGTGCTGCTGATGTGAAGACATTTTAACAGCGACACGCTGAGTGACTCYTTGGTTCCTAATTGTTAAACATGACTCATGAATTGTCTCGTCTCTGTAGCCATAACAGGAACACGTTATTTATAACAGCCTTTTTTTTCTGTTGGTGCRGTTTTCCAGTTTGCTGTTGTGCGACATGGGTGTTAAACAAAATAATAATAAATTGTCACTGCAGGCTAATAAATTGTCAAACAGTCTAATATTTATGCTGTGCAATATGTTAAATACATCCAGCGGCCTTCATATTCTGGTTTTAAATTAAGATGAGGCCCTGGAGCGTTTCACAGCTGCCATAAGGTGTGTGTAGAATATATTTTTATTATGCCTGTCGTGCATTTAATGATTTTTGGTTGAGCTGCCTCCATCTTTTGGTTTTAAATTTGTGTTCATGTTCATCTCTCTGGTTCTATAGACTGTATGAAATCCAGGTTAGACCTGAGAGGCCTGTTCAGGTCAACCCTGGCTGGATTTGGTGAGTCCTGAAAGTGTTTGTGTTGAACGCAGCTGCTTTTGTTGCCGCTTCTTTTGAGGGGTATGCTATAAAGCAAGCTCAGCAGAGCGAAGCCTTTTTCTCTTTAGCCTGGCTTAATGAAGCTGAAAACCCTTTAAAATATTACAGATAATACCAGAGTGGTTCTAATGCTTTGGATCCGAAGTGTTCACATGTAGCTGGCCAAGCAGAAAAGCTTTCATGGCATACTCCTCTGGTTTCTTATGGGTTTTTTTTCCTTTTCATTCAGCACATCCACAAGATTTTTACTACTTCATTCAGCTTTTTGTAAAGATAAATCTACTGAATCTTTTTCCTCCATTATTAGTACTTCTGAGCAGCAAATCAACAGTTTTCCAACAGACTTGAGCATTGTTTGTAATCCTGTATCATCTCATCAGCTCGTTGCTGTTTTTGATTTTATCACCTGCTCAGAGCTGCTGTAACTTTATTTAACTGTCACACCTGACATCGTCTGTCGCCAGCAGCCGTTCTGTTCTCTGCTCCTGTATGAGTCCTGGCTGCTGTTTTTTGCTGCAGACAGCAGCATCTGTTGCAGTTTGTCCCAACGCTCTGCTTGACTGGCAACGCTGCTCCCTGCTTGCACTTAGCTGAGGATTGTTGTGTTTGAATGCAGAATGTGCTGTGGGAGCTGGTGACATCGCAGAATGGTGTGTGTGTGTGAGACGTGGAGTACAGCGTCAGACATGTATGTTTGTGCAGTGATGTGCAGGAAAACCACGGCTCATGCTTTTCTTCGTTGTGTTGGAGTGTCACTTCTCAGGCTGTAGTAAACTGCAGTATTCACAAAACTGCAGCTTTGATGTGCAAAAATCTAATTTAAGATGCAAAATACCAAAAATAAATAGTTTTGCATCTTATTCAGAGGTGTATAGTAATAAAGTTCATTAATTAAGGCCCTGTCACACTATGTAATGTTTTGAACTTATGCCAACTTGTGAACATTTTAAAGACTTCTATGTTAAAGATGGGATTAAATAACTGGAACCCTCTTTTATGCATGTACACTGTAATACTAAAATCTATCAAATGCATAACTTTTATTGGTAGTTCAGACATAATCAGTTTAAGTTGGCGTAAGTTCTCTAAAACGTTAGTGTGACAAGGCCTTTAAGTACTGTAACAATTGATTTTTGAGGATCCAAAATTTTCCAAGTGTATTTTTTTAATTTTGTTACTTTCAAGAATGTAAATATATATAT